CTTCGCCTAGCAAAAAGTTATGCGGGGTGTTCCGATAGTAAATCCTAAAAAATATGTGAAAAATGCTTTGCGAGGTCGTGGAGACAAGTTGGAAAGATTCTCAGATCCACGGGACTGCGGATTTATGCAAACGTCTGCTGGCTACGCCACGCTGACTAGCGTTTATTATTCATACGATTGATCATTATATCTCAGTAACCAATACATTTTTTTCTTTCCTTATCACTTTCCCCTGAAACTTCCATATTCAACCTTGTAGAAACATAGAATCAAATCCGACGAATCAAATCAAGCTTTCCAAATGATAAATTTAAATTGTCCTAAAGAGAAAGTCATGATTTCTCAAATGTACTTTCTGTAACTTTTTTTTAATCTACACCCCTATTTTCATTGAATATACTCTCTATTGAATATATTGAATATACTAAAATTGAGGTCTCTAGTGGGACTACCCTCGCCCTCCAGTTTGTGACACCGCGTGCCAAGCTGCAGTTCGTATCACTCTTTTAAAGCGCTTGCCTCGCTGTATAAGAAAATGTAAATTAAAAATAAAATTCTATAGGGGCAGTATAATGGCAGTCTATTTTTTTAATAATTCGCAAACGTCTCCTCAACGGGGCACGTGGCTTCAGAAACGAGCTCACCTCTTTTAAAAAGATGAATTTTATAAGGCAGGAGATGCAACACGGACCTAATGTTATCGGCCACCACAGAAACATCGAAGCGTAGGGAGCGAGAGGGACGAGTCTGGGGCAGAGAAGCGGCAAGCAGGAGTTCGCGAGTTCGGCGCCGGCGATGACCCACGAAAACCTACAAAGCCAGACGAATCGTGTAATTGTTCATTCGCAAATTATCAATAAATACATTGTAAAGTGATGAAATAAAAAAATTAAAAGCAGTTTCTGCTTTTCATAAAATATTTGGGTAGTTTCAGCCTTGCAGGCTAATAAGGTGCTCTGCCACTGTGTGAAACACGTACATATTTTATTAATTTCAAGCAGAAATTACGCAAAAGCTACTAATTTTTTCAGCAAAATTTACAGGACCTTTTTTAAAGAACTTATCTTGAGCAACAGACTTTACCATAGGCAAAAGTCTCCATCATTAATTTTGTGGTTTTAAGATTGATTTCTGTTTTACCTGAGCCAGTATTTTAGTTACCAGCAGTGATTCGGTGAAATTTTCAAGTCAGCATTTTCAGTCACGATTTTGCATTGAAAAATCTGGGAAATAATACTTTCCCTAAAGTGGTTAGTAATTTCAACACATTAATTTATATCTTGGACAAGTTGAAACATTTGCAAGAAAACTAGGAGGACTATTCTCGTATCATACGCATTCAGTGCCGAAAATGCTATTTTGAGCAGGTTAGTAAAAATCTAGATGATACGTACAAGTAAATTACTTTTATTATTAAACAGATCGATTAATTGATTCATTGGAAGTAACATTTATACATCTTTTAAAGCAATAAACACGTTTTGTTAACAACTTTCCCGCCAATATTGAAATGCAAGGATAGAGAAGAGGGTGGATTTTAACATGCGAGAGTTCTCGTACGGGTACGCTAGCATTTTCTTAAACCAGCAATAACTGCATTAATTTCCTAAGTTCAGGTTCGGAAGTTTAACAGAGGGAGATTATCTGTTAAAAGAGCTGTCTTTTGTAAGCGACAATTGTTAACTTATTGAAATTCGTTAATTATTTCTCTGTGTTGTTTAATAGATAAGAATGTATTAAACTTTTTTGCTTTCAACTTCTCAGACATTGTTAAATTGTATTTATGAGGACATGTGCTTTAAAAAATGTTACAAAGTTTCTCGAAAATCCAACCGTTTTCTATGAAAACTACCTCAAAATTCCGCATTTTCAGAAACGCTCAAATGCCATTTTTTCAAAAACGGCTTCAAATTTGTTCTTCAAACTTTTCCAACATATAGTGCTAATTGAACTCCTTAATATCACGTTAAGTTCATTTCGGTGTATTTTTTTTTTGTTTTATTTCGAAAATTACACAATGTAACTTTTTTGAAAGATTTCTCATGCCGTCAATACCCACATTTCCAGCATTTTATAAACGATATTGTATCGTTGAGTTAAAATAATTTAAATGATTTTTAATGAAGTTTTTCGAAAACTCAAAAATATTCTGTGAAAAGGCTTCAAATTTCGAATTTACAAGAGGACACAAGCGCTATTTTCTTAAAACCAGCTCCAAAGTAAAAAAAAAGCCATTTAGGCCGAGGCTTTACTGATCTTTAATATTCTTAAAAGAATACATTCGTTCTACTATTAGGAAACCGAAAAATTACGAAAACTGTAAAAAAATTTATTTTGGGCGGCGATAATGGCAGCAGGCAAGTGTATGGGACAAATTCGTACAGCTAGCCGAGTGAAAAGGAAATATAAAAATAATACGGGAAAGTCTGTGCCATTATGTAGCACCACTAGTTTACTTTCTCGCCCTTACTACCGTTCGAAGATGAAGCATTGTAATCGTGCGCCGAAAAACGCAAATTGTTTTAGTTTCCATGATATTGTAAATTAATTGAATCCACTTTCACTTCACATATTTTGGTATTATGACATATTTTTGCACATTTTTTCCTATTAATGCATAGTTCTTAGATATTTTGTAAATTTGAAAATGCTATTGGGGTAATTTTAAACAGTAACTTGAACCTTATCTTAAAGTATTAGTTAGTTTTTCTTGGCTCCTTGAGTTATATAGGAATGGATGAGGTTCTTGAGTTTAGATCATTATGGAAGGAAAAAAAAAAAGTAGAAAAAAATAATTCTACATTCTTTTTTTACTTTACTTCCTTTTGGTAGCCAATTTTTTGGCTCTATTTGGCCTTCATCAGGACTGGAATTGTTACACTAAATTTACACAAGTTGTTATTTACTCCTTTATACAATACATAACCTTATCCTAAAATATCTAATATACGAACGTCTACAATTCTTAGTACATAATGAATTATCCTACCTTCCATTCTTTTATTTTACATTTTTTAAATTTTTTCTTACAATTTTGAAAAGATATGTACATATGTTGCATTTTTTGTTACAATAAATTCAGTTTTCTAATTATTACTAAACGTTTAGTCTGTAAGATAGTACACATTTTCTGTAAAAAGTGTGTGTGTGTACGTGTATGATAAGAATGGTCAAAATTTCAATATTAGTAAATATTTAAAATTGGATGTGCAGTACCAACATTAATTGAAGCATGTTTGTCAAAGTTTAATTTTTCTCAACATAAAAAAGGAAGGCCATCAAGTGAAGTTTTACCAGATGCAATAATTTGCAATTGGTTCCAACAATTTGATGATCTGTCACAAAATTTGAAAAACATGAAAGCAAAACTATATCACCTCTAGGTCTTTTCTAATAAGTCTCATCTCATAACTATACATTACTATTAAAAATGCAAATATTCCAATTCATGTAAATTGTTTCAAAGAATTTCATGAAAAAAGTTATAGGATATACTTTTAATGTATCTTACATTTTTTTTTGATAATTATGTTCATATTTCTTTCAAAATAAAATTTCCGAAAGCACCAGATATATATTCTCAATTCTTTGAAAATAAACTTTTGATTGTATGACAATGAGTGAATACTGCTCATTTTTTCTCGTGTGATACAAAATAAAAATTGGAATCTACTGAAACGTGTTTTGTAACACTAAATTCACACAAAAAATAGGGAAAAAATAACTAATTTGATAAATATTTCTATGTCTGTGAACAATGACTAAAACTCGTAAGTATTGAAAAAAGAACTGATTCTGAAAACAGTTCACTGACGAAAAATCTCTCTCCAAAATTATTTCCTTTTCTCCAGTGAAAATGTAAATATGAAACATTGAATGACTGCTTCTCTAATTTAATTGTGAAACCTTACCTCATAATGTACTATTTTTTTGTGATAAAATAACAAATACATTTTTGTACAAATAAATAGAAAATTTCATGATGCATCAATATAATTTCATAATGCATCAATAAAATCTCCACTATAATTTCAACACTTACAACATGAATCACGAATTTACAAATCAACATCTTTGTTTCACCCCTCAAAGATGAAATGAAGTTTAAGCCAACATTTCTTTTGTACACTCCTTTCTTATCACAGTTTTAATCAATCATATTAGTATTTTTAAAAGAATTAAAAAATTTATCGACCTAAATCATTACAGATCATCGTCTCCCCCATACGTCACACAGTTTTTACTGTTTTTTGACTAAATAAATCAAAATATAACTTCACTTGTCCCCAAACAAATGTACTATATCAAATTTCGAAATTCTGAAACAAACAGGTACAGATTGGCTTAATGAAAAATATTATTTTTAAAATTTCATAATCATTGTTTCTTTCGTCATATAAACTTAAATCTGATTTTCAAGAGCAGCTTGGTTTCTTGCAAACTTTTGACAATCTGTTTATGAATTTCTAATGCAAGTATGGGGCAAAAAAGGAGAAGCATTCACTAGAATTATCTACACAATGGTACAAAAAGTTTCCTTATATTTCATCAGCACCATCACCAAAAAAAAAAAAAAAAGATAATTGATAAATGTTAATGATAAAAACAAGATCTGTTTCAACACATGATATTTTCCAATGAATACAAGTGTGCTATTTCACTGCCTTTCCATTATATCAATAACAGTGTTAAGCATCTAATACTCAAACATCAAGCTATTATTTTCTTTAAGTTACTGTGTATGCAGATGACTTTCCCTCTGAACAAGATAAAAGTCAGTGGCAGACATCATTTTCTCCCTTGGAATCATTCAACCAACAAATGATTTTATTTATTGTGATAAGTAAGTGTTGAAACGAGAGCGCGAGAGAGCACGCGAGAAAATACATTCACCAACCATTAGTTTGTTCCTAAACCCAAAGGTTCTTAAGTAACATCATCAAAATAATCTATTTCCTGTGGAATGTTAACTTATACAGTGTGCCAGGAAAGTCTCTCTGCACCAAACCAAGTCAGGACCTCCTATTAAAAAATTGCATTTATGTTGGTAGCAACCAGAAACAAGTGAAGGAGACAAGACTTCTAGCATTGTTATGGTGTGGTGAGTATGCTATTTACATTTTTCTTTGTTAGCAGCATAATTTCTGTTGGTAGCACTTCCACCAGCAAAGTGCCAGTGTGGAGAGACTTTCCTGGCATGCTTTGCAAGCAACCCAAATGATAAATGTGGTAGCAAATCCACCATATCTAAAGAACACATGAATTAATGAAAATATTTTAGTGCTCCAAGTATTTATTTTCAAATAACATGAGAATGTTTACAGAGCAACAAATATATGTTCTCACATTAATCGAAATTAAAAACAATGAAACATATAACAGAACATGACAGAACATGCACAACAATGAAAAATATGAAAAGGTTTTTGCTTTGATCTAAGCAGGGGAAATCATAGCCAAGTCATTGCCAAGGTTGAGTAATCAGCTCCAATTTATTTTCTTAACTGTCAAGTGAACTTGTCATTGGTATTGAGAATGAAGTTTTAGACAACTTCATAACCAAAGGAGTTTGATTAAGATTCACCACTGCTAGCAATGCCTGCAACAGCAAATAAGTTCATAGGTATGAAATGCGAAATCCTAATTGGTTCATGGTATCCTAATATTTCTGTTGAGAAATATTTGAAAAATTGAGAAAAAGACTATGACTTTGCCACACCCACTTCTAATTTCTGTATGTAACAAAGAATGCATGATGACAGTCTTCCCGAGTGCAGGTTTTTTAAAATAAAAGCATTAAGTTATTGTAAGAGCAACATGTTTTCACTCACAAGATTTTATTTTTTCTATAAAACATGAGGGGGAGAAAAAAGTTACCAAATTCAACCAGATCTCACCTTCAATTGAAGAATTCTGAGAGGACTCAAACTGTGCTCTCTGTTTGTTTACTTCAGTCACGAGGGACGTTATAAATGGGTGTGAAAATTTATTCTTGGTTGACTCAAAAAAGTCTTGCAGTTCATGAGGTCTACCACCACGTTTCTCATATTCAAAAGCTTGTAGAACCATATCAAATCTATCCAAATCCTTCACAAACTTAGCTTCAGGAGTGTTTTGATCTTCATATTCCTAATTGGAAAGAATTTTTTAAAATATAATGCCAACAAAGCATAACAATTATACGAAAATAAAGGAGAAATAAATTAATATGATATTAAACCAAATTAAAACTAATTTTTAGGACATTTAATTCAAATTTGATATTACTGCTTCATGGTAAATTTTTGTAATAAAACACTTGACTACAATATAACACTAGATTAAATCAGCAACACCACCATTTTTGTAAATATATTGTTGCCTTTTTGTACTGTACGAACAGCAAGTATTAAATCAACAATTCACTTCCAATTATTTGTTTTTATTAATACTTATGCACATAAAAATATTTGACTTGCTGAATTATTAATAATTATATAAATACATATACACATACAAGCACACAAGTGTTATTATTACTACTTATTTTAATTTGTTTTCTTTGCAAACAAATTCATGGCTGGATTAAGCTTGACATAGGCCTTAGGCACAATTTTTTCTTAGGCCTCAGAAAGAATTGTAGGACCGTATTAAATTGTAATTATTAGACTTTTTTGGAATTAAAAAAAAAAAAAATGGTAATTTAATGGAATACATAACACAATTCATTCAAAATTTACACAATGTCCCAAAATAAGTAGACTTCATAGTAATGTGTAAAGTAAATTTAATGTTAACAAAAATTAAATTTAAAACAATTATAAAAGATTTTACCGAATCTAAAAATTGGAAAAAGTTGTTAGTTTATTAAGTACATTAAACCAAATTGTCATATAATATTATAATAATAGACTTAAATATTGTTTTGTAATGTATACATTATTGAAGATATCATTTTAAAGATTAAAAAATTTATGATTTGGTATGTATACGAATTATTTATTTGTTAATTTTAGTCCTGAAATAAACTTTAAAAAAAATTTATCAGCAGGCCCCACCCTAGGCCCCTGCATGTACGTAGTCTCTAGTCACTGTGCCTGATTACACTTCTTAAATTATAATTATCTATTAAAATATTAATGTCAGATTAAAAATAATAAAATCAAAGTATGCCAATCTACAGGAAAATTAATGGATCAGAAGGCCAATTCTTAGGCATGGCTGTATTTTTTAATTAAATCATATCTGATACATATTTTGGTCATCTACTAATATTCATTTTATTGTCTGTATTTCTTTCTAATTAAATAAAGAATTTATTAGGTATGCTAAGATGATGCAGACTGCTACAACGAAGAAGAAAGTTTGTAAAATGTTTAAATAGATAAATGTATTGTATCAAAATGTTTTCAGAACATCAGAGTGAATAATACTATCCATTCAAGATGCCAATAAAGGACTTAACAGATTGAAAAACTAACATTACACAAATAACAAACTAGCATGCATTAGAAAATTCAAACTTTAAAAATATTCAGGGAATGCTTTATATTTCGAAAGAAATAATCCTCACACTTCTACTTGAGTTTTATTTTTGCTAGTACATAAAAGAAATGTAAAATTGGTGTCACTAATCAATAAACAATGGTTGCAACATTTATATCCTCTGATATTATTGTTTCTTAAAATTTTAAAATCAAACAATTTCCTTTTTTCACATGTCAAAATAAGTCTTTTTGCATAAAACTAATTTCATGGAATATTCTAGTTGTAGTAACAAGGCCTATAGAATAACTGGGAATGCAATGACTAATTATGGCAGTATTTTTCCCAAATTATTCATGTTAATATAATTGAATTGTTTGTTGCAGAAATGGTACATTCCTAACTGGACAGGAATAAATCTGCCAACCAATACCTCCCTTAGTGGGGCCACAGATTTCCACTATGTGACTGAATTTTTGGAGTTGTCAGAATGCCAAATAAAAGGGACAATACTGGTATACTCACGAAGTGTACGAAACTGTGAGAAAAGAAAGCTCAAAAGGTAAAATTATTGAAGTACTGTTATTAAAAATCTATCATATTGGATTTTGATAATTAATGGCCTCTTAATTTTAAAAGTATGCAATATTAAAAGTTCAAAATTAAGAAAAGAAAGATTTTGAAAATGTATGAGCTATACTAATGTTGCTAGTGTCAGGCTGCGAATAAGGTCCAAATTTCACTGTGGATGTAATTGTTTCCTAAAATCGCAATTAGTCAGTTGTTATTTTTCAGTCAGTAGTGACCATTTTTTGCATGCTGCAGACAGCATTAATCCTACATTGACTGCAAGAACAGCCATTATGATTGTTTTATGTTATTAGATGTCTTTTTAACCAACAATGCCGGTATTTTAACGATTTTCCTTTTATACCAGATCAAGTGATGACAAAAAAATTCATATTTTTGCAGGTCTTTAGTATTTTCAGTGAATAGTGTGTTTGCTTATATATGTTTTGAGATCTTGGCAAATCACCTTAGGAATGCTTCCAGGTAAGATCACAAAACGTCCATATGAAATAAACCATTTCATACAAAATACTATAGATTTGAAATAGCTATATCTATCTCCTTGACCTGATTTCTGATATTGTCAGCTGCCTCATAAAATCCTGTGGGTAAATACCAATATTTTTATGCCTGATACAAATGAATCTTTTTGATTCCTTTATCATTCCTACTCGTTTTTAACGTAGAACGAGGATAAACATAGATATTGAGATTTGACAGAGAATTGTTCAAAGAATCATCATCCGAAGTTTCATGGGACTCAACTGGTTTACACCTGGTTGCAAGAGCACTTCCCTTCTTGACCCAGTTGGAGTGACAATTCTTTGAACAAATTTAATTATTAAAATAAATTTGTTATTCAGTAAAAAAGTCACATCTTGGATGCACTTACGGTTGCAGAACATATTTCTAATGTAATTGCCCCTCCAATAAGGTGACAATTCAACACACATTTTCATGCATTACTTTTAAACTGTTTCTTGGAAATATTGGTATGAGAATAAGTTAAATATGACCCAAAATACAAGCAGTCCAATTGATTCATTAAAAATTAAAAATTGTTCCTCATTTTTCCTTTTTTCCGATTTGTACTTTTTGTACTTCTGTATGAAAGTAAGTATCATCTTGAGTAGTGTAATCACTATTCTGAATTAACTAGCTGTTCAGGGGAAGGAGGGGGGGGGAGAAGATGAAAAATGAGGAGAAAAGGTAAAGAATAAACAACAAAAAACTATTAACACGAGAAGGGAGAGGAACATATTGAAGAAGGAACCAAATACTTAATACAAGAGGTAAGGTCTTTCTGCTTCCCTATACTCAATAGGCAACAGAACAGAGCAATTAATGTCCAAAGTGAAAATACAAATCATGTTTCACATTCATTACTGTTGCACTACTCATTGTTCATTAAAGCATTGATTTGTAATACGCTCAATGTTTGAAATATCCTTATTGCTGTTTTTACAATAAAAAAGGTTGATGTTTCAAGTCACTCATACATTCATTTACACACAAATCAAATATAAGAACAACTCTTAATTAAAAAATCAATCTCAGGTGTATAGAAATTTTTATGAGATGGAAGAAAAAAAAAATTGTACTCTTTCCAAATTCATTCAACTCATTCAATTGTCAATTTTCTCTTGAAAATAAATGTCAAGTTCAAAATATTTTCATGCATCATCCACAAAGCAATTCTTAAGTCTGTACCTTAAAGAGCATATACAACTCTTCTCCTGGCGGACCCACTAATTGAGTTAACTTTTGCATAGCCTCATCTTCAAGTCTGTGCTTTTCAGCAGGATCCACGCCACTGTTTGGAGTCAAATCTCCAACTATACATTCTGCAAGATCATGAGCTAATGACAGTTTGATACACCTGTATTAAAGTTTCATATTTAGAAAATATATATTGCATATTATGTTAATAAATGCAAACTACAGCATACATACTTGGTTTTATCTAAAGAGTCTGAGTCACTAATTAGAAAAGCCATAATACTCATTCTATACATGTGTCCAGCGACACATTCTGGGTCTTCAACATTCCGTTCAACCCATCCTGTCCTTTTGAGATGCTAAATGAAAATTTAATACAATCAGTAAAATTATTCAAAATATAAAAACAAAATATGTTGAGTTTTATTGCTTACAGCACCTTCAATCGGCTGACCAATTCTAAAAATTCAATAATTTGGGAGGAATTTGTTGCCATAACTGAGGAACCAGGAGGCCCTCAAATACAAATATTTTCACTTGACTAAAATTTGATTCAGTTTAACCACGTTCACTACTTGTTGGCACTTGCTCTTCCCCTAGGCAAAATCCATTGCCAACTTTAGCGAAATACTAGACTACAACTACAAATACTTTGCCGAAGTGAAATGAATATTACGAATCTACAAGTGTTTTATTTGGTCACACACTTCGACATAAGAGTTTCATTAAAAGTTTAAAATGTACAAAATCAAGTCTAGTAAACGAATAAAATACAATAGCATCAACATCTGTACATTACCGTTATGATATATTTTGTACGAAGTTGCTGACTTGTCGTGTGTCATCTGTCTTGTTACTAGATTGTCACTTGTTTAGTGTTTTGGTTCTTGCGCGAAGTAGTGTAAGGTTAGGTTGCTGTAATTTAGAGAAAATAATTCCATATTGTATTCGAATAAATTCCTATATATTCGTTTCAGTGAAATTATTTGTTCTCAAGCTGAAAGTGTTTCTGTTATAGCGTAATTGCTGCGATTAAATTGCAATAAAATATCGGGGGAGTGTTCAACATCAGTGAAAATACATAAAAGATATTAGGACGATTGAAATTTCTTCAAAATGAGTGACGATAAGACCCCTACCAACCAAGAATTCAAGCTTGAACCTGATTCTGAATTACGTTTTGAAGTTGAGAGCAAGAATGAAAAAGTAACATTAGAGGTAACACAATGCTATAACATAAGATTCTGTGTAAGGTGATTTTAAATACAATTTTATTATACATGAGAATTTTATGTGTGATATAATTTTACAGCTCAAAAGTGGAGTTGCAGAAGTGTTTGGTACTGAGTTGGTAAAAGGAAAATTATACACCTTCACTACAGGAGCAAAAATTGCTGTGTTTACTTGGAGAGGTTGTGTGGTAGAGTTAAAAGGCAAAGTGGATGTGAGTTATGTAGCCAAGGAGACTCCACAGGTAGGACACATAAGTTTTATGTTTTTCATTGTTGGGATGCCTCCTTATGTGCTTTGTATAAATTATTTTTTCACTTTAGGTAATGTACCTGAATGCACATGCATGTTTGGAAAAGCTGAGGGAGAAAGCTGGTGAAGAGAACAGTAGGGGGCCTATTACAATGGTAGTTGGACCAACAGATGTAGGAAAATCTACTCTTTGTCGCCTTCTCTTGAATTATGCAGTTCGTATGGGGAGACGCCCAGTTTTTGTTGATTTAGATGTAGGTCAGGGTCAGATATCCATACCAGGAACAATAGGTAAATCTGTAATTACAAGTTTGAATTTTTATCTGTAATTTCATATAAATATGAAATGAGTGAAAATAATCTTGTAATAGAAAAGTATTGAATTAAGGCAAAAAGAAAATTATCTCACTATTTGAACATTTCAATTTCAGGAGCACTTCTTGTCGAAAGACCAGCATCTGTGGAAGAAGGATTTTCTCAGCAAGCACCATTGGTATACCATTTTGGACACAAAGCTCCTAATGGAAATCTTACATTGTACAATATTTTGGTTACACGTTTGGCAGAGGAAGTTCAAGAAAGAATGCAAGCCAATCGAAGAGGTAGAGATATTTAGGTCATAATCATCACATATATTATTTATAAAACGAGTTATGTAAATATCCCTTTTCTGGATGAACTACTCAATCAATCTAGGTAAATAAGGTGTTATTTGAAAGCCGGAAGTCTGGGATGTCTGCACCTGTAGTTTATATTTTTGTGTGTAGCATATGAACATTAGTAATACGAAAAAATATTTTGAAATGTTGACATAACACACAACCTGGCAGTAAGGCAGTGGGTTTGGGCAGTTTCACATTTACGCACAGCAGACAAGGGCATGCCAGACCAGACCAGAAAGACAAATACTCTATAGACAAAATGTTATCTTTTTCCTGCCTGAGTATATGATAATGGTAAATAAATATCTGGGCAAGTAAAAGGATTCAGCTTTAAACTTCCTGTGTGATTTAATCGCCCTATTCTCTTTAATTTTGCAAGTTCTTCTGAAAAAATGGTTTTGGAAAATAGTCAGAAAGTGGGGAAAAAATAAATAAGGACCAAAGTCTTGTTTTGTGCTATGTGGTACATGGTTTTCATTAGAGTGTAAAATAAAGAAATGTTATGAGCCTCCTAAAAGTGCATTTGTGAGTTATGCCGTAAATAGTGTTGTTAATATCATTCAGAGAAGTGAAAGAAGAATGAAGAATCTGTGTGAATACAGCAAAAATAAATAACACTAAATACCACCTTCTAGATGAACCTTTCTTCATTTTAATATAAGAATCTGTTCTGAAATTTGTAAGGGCAGGTAAATTTTTTAAATTGAGTTATATTCTTGTTTAATGAAAATGATAACCACACGTCTTAGAAGAAATGATGTGCATTCATAGCATTTCTGGTAAAATAAATTTTACCTTGTTGAGATTGTGTTAGCTGGTCTTAGCCACTGATTAGTTTTCTTGATTTTCTATGGCAAGCATTTATTCTGAGCATAATCACGTGGGTGTTTGAAATGTTTTAATATATAAAGTTTCTTATATTTGTTTTGGTACTAATAACACGATTCCTGATGATGATCTGTTATCTTTATGGATATTCACCATTGCTGCTGCTTTAAGAGGTGTGACCTTTATCTTTCTGTTTTGTAATAGATTCACAATTTCGTCATATGGAGATTAATGTAGTCCTTAACTCTTCTGTTAATTTTAGTGAACTTGAGCTTTTTTGTCTAGAACCAGCTGACCAATGAACTAGATAATTAACTTTTTTTCTTCATCATGACTTCAGAATGCACTTCTATTATTAAGGGTTTTGACCCTCTCTCTGGTTTCCTCAAAGTTCTCCAAGCCTATACTTCAGATGTGATGGGAAGGTACCCATCTCTGTGCTTTAAGGTTGTTTTTTGGGTCTTATGGTGCAGCTCCGGGAAATAATTTTGTTATTAATTATTTTTGTTGGTTTTAGCAAGGCTGGTATGCTATAATTTATCCATTTAACTTGGCACTGTTGATGCTCCTCAAAATCTGTATTCATCTGTTTAGTCATTCTGTTTTTATGGTAGCAATTAAATTTGCAGTATATTTGTCAAAAGAAGTTATTTTACTATAAGTACAAACCAACTTCACAGAAATTTTTAAAATTTGTAAATAAACTGCCATATGGCATGCAAAGTAAGCTTACTCAAAATAAATAGATTGATTCTAATGTATACTCCTGTATTGTATTTCTTGTAGTATGTGGCGCTGTTTTTGATGTGTAATAAATAATTACTCCTGTTATGTAGGAACTTAAATATAAATTAGTAATTTAATATACCAGCAAGGTCCAAAGAATTTGTAACAAAAGCCTCATTAAATTATGGGATGAGCGACCTTAGCCTGTGATGTGCCCGTAATCATCAATCAAATAAGGAGTAATATTATAAATTTTAAAATGAGCACAATGGCGAACAGTAGACTGTCAATTTCTCTAGACAATCTTTTTACTAGAGAACTGATGATTTCTTTACACATTTTAGAGAATCCATCGTGATGTGATGAGTGATTTTGAGAACTTTAAAAGGGAGATACCAGGAGATCAAATTCACCTAGGAGGAAAATGAACAGCGCAAAGAATAGTGTTACTAGTAATGCCATGAAGTTAAAACAAACAAATTTAACATGTGGTTTCTTCAATATGCAGGAAAAGGAAAAAAGTGGGGAAAATTTTGATGACTTTGTTACAAAATTCAATGGTAATGGAATGAGACCTTTTATCAGGGACATTACTGATCAAATGCTTTGAAATTTAGTAGTTTTGAAACTAAGTTTTTATAAATAAATTTTGAAAGGAATCACTATTGGTTGCTCGGTCGACTCCATTTATAGTGAACTTTGGGGAAGTAATGTTTGGTTTACTATATCAGAGGTTTTCTATATCGCATGTCAAAATTAAATAGAATTTATGCACAATGATTGATTTTATTCACTTAGAGATACGGCAAAATTCATTAATAGCACTGACTGAAAATTTCATCTTTATTTGCCATTTGCCAAAAATCAATTATTTTAAATTTGCTTTCTTACATTTTTCGTTAGAAATCTCTCTAGTTTGTGCTCTCTCCATTCTTGATTCAGCACCATCCTCTGTCTCGTAGTATCATAATGCAGTCTTGACAGCGTTCAATGCCTCTTGCACCGTTGAGACATCATCCCACTCTCAGAAGACCCTCTTACTCCCCTAATAATATGAAATCCAATTACTTTCCAGGATGATGTTCACTATAGCTGAGGTTCAGTTTGACTATAACCGAATTTTCATGTTTATTTAAATGTGAGTGAAACGGGACCTGTCACTAAAGTTTACTATACCAAGGGTTTGCTATTTCAGAGTTCACCATAACTGAAATGGAGTATATTTTGTATCTAAAATGCTTTTATGGAAGTATTTTGTATCTGCAATACTTGTTTTAAGTATTTTGCCCAACTCTGCTTCTGTTTCCATGTCATCTTTGTGTTGGAGATCTCATTACATTTACTCCATTCGAGTTGGGAGTCATGTACATAGTCTTGGTTAGTTATCGCAAAGTTGAGTAGTTTTGATATGTCACCCTGAAAGTATAACTTCATCAATCAATATCACATAATCTAAAAGTTCTAATCTTGTTAAACATAAGTTAATGGCCACCAGGTGGCTTAAAAAACTCTTTCTCATATATTACTAATGATAAATTGTTAAAGCAGTCAAATGACAATTTGTACCTTACAAAATATATCAAAAATTAAATATGAATTCTAAGCAGTTAATTGACTGAATCAAATTTTTCACAATTTCTCACAAGTAAATAGACAAATTAATTTTGCTGTATGATTATTAAAAAAGATAGTAAATCTCTTTTCAGTAGTTGTAAATGAATTTTTGTGTACTACAAAATATTGTTGTATTTAAACATAAATGTAGTGAAAAACTGTTTTATTTGTTTTTAATTGCATTTTCATTGTTACAGCAAATGCATCTGGAGTTATGATAAACACCTGCGGTTGGGTAAAAGGAGATGGGTACAAACATCTTACTCACGTTGCACAGGCATTTGAAGTGGATGTAATTATTGTATTGGACCAAGAACGTTTGTACAATGAACTTGTCCGTGATATGCCGGCATTTGTTAAAGTGGTTTTTTTACCCAAGAATGGCGGTGTATGTTTTTTTAAGTCATAAAGTTATGAATTATTTTTTCCATGAGAAAATTATATATTCCTTTTTTTGTGAACAGGTTGTTGAAAGGAGTTCTGGTGCCAGAGCTGAAGCTCGTGATGCGAGAGTGAGGGAATACTTTTATGGCATGCGTTCTCCATTATATCCGCATTCTTTTGATGTGAGATTCAATGAAACCAAAATTTATAAAATTGGGGCTCCATCATTACCTGATTCCTGTATGCCTCTGGGCATGAAAGCAGAAGATAATCATACAAAACTTGTAGCAGTCAGTGCTGGTAAGAAGTGAGAAACTTTTTGTATTCTGCTGTAAATGAAAACAATATCAGTGGAATTAACAAAGCTAAATCATTCACCTGTATATTTTTGTTTAAATCCATTTGTGTTATAAGAAATTTGATTTGGAGCTTATTTGTGCATTACAAATTGGATTATTTTTAACTACAAAATATTTTTGTTGAATGTTGAATTATTTTTAATACAAGAATGATGATAAACAGTTTAATCAGGTCAGCTCCATTTAGTGGTATTACAAAAATAAGAGCAGCCAATATAAAAATTGGGAATAATAGTAATGCTTTAACAGCATGAGGTAACTGATCCAATCTGATACAGTTAATATGAAAAAGTCTTGTATTGAATGTAACAGTCATGAAATGTTATAATAATGCTACTTCCATACTATTGATTCTTCACCCTTCTCATTAAAACACTATATAAAATTATGAAGGAGAGAATCTTGAATTTTTTTGAAAATTTAAAAATTTGAATGAAATTTTGCTTCTGTATACAGTGTTGTCTACTTACAAATTTTTTAAGGAATTAAAAATAATATTTTGAGCAGGCTAATTTTTGTACTTGTGACCTCAACCAACTGGGCTAACTGCCACATCACCTGCAATGGATCTGCGCCATATTTAAGCATACTTTAATCTACTTGAGCAAAAAATTATTTCTATTTGGTAGATCAAGCAGGGATTATTTATTTAGGTCTCGTGAAAATGTTACAGGTTAGGTTTAAGTTTTGTGCAAAGGTACAAAGGCCTACAAAAAGACGCATATTTTGTAAAAACAAATCTTTTATGAAAATACTTCAAACTGTTTCAGAAATGCGGGTGATAATTTGTGACTTAGCTGGCAACAAATATCTCATATTCAGTAATTCATTTAAATAGTGATAAATTCAGTTCTGTCATTTATATAAAACCATTATAAAATACTTCTTGCCCTTCATGTAAATGTGAATTACTTTCACATTTATGTCCAGACTATTTATTTGAATTATGTGTACTTCAGGAACAAACTTGCTGCATCATGTTCTTGCTGTTAGTTTTGCTGCTTCCACCGAAGATGATGTTATTCGGAGTAACGTTGCAGGATTTATCTGTGTGTAAGTAGTTTCAACAGAAAAAAATTGAAATATAATATGTAACATAACATATAATACATCTCTTGCTCTCTGATTTTTCAGTACCAATGTCGACATGGAGAGACAGACAATGACAGTTCTGTGCCCACAACCTCGGCCTCTACCCAAGACATTACTCCTCCTCTCTGATATTCAATTTATGGACAGTCACTGACAATAGTGTTACAATGTGTGTGCATGTTTGTGTGTGTGTGAATCATGTGTTTGTAAAAAATCTGGAAAATCAGTGTACAAAATGCAGGAAATTGTAGTTTTATATTTCTAAGTTTTTTGTTTCACAATTTCTGGAGGTTCTTTCTGAAGACCTCCTTCCCTTCTGTTATATTATTTCTTTACCTTGAATACCTTTTAAAATATAAATAAAGATTAAATTGGTTCACAAAAACATTTTCTAAGACACATTAGCAGATCACTGAGAGAAAGAGAAAATAATTAGAAGGCTAAAAACTATAGCTGTAATTACCAGGGAGTATCAAGAGCTTAATAAACATGGAACTTCCTCATTATAGTTCTTTTAGTGAAAACATTAGTTAACAATTGGAGGTTGTGTTACAACTTTATGGAAGGAAAGAAAGAAGTGGGAGAAGTGTGACACAAAAAGTATCTTTAAATAAAAGACTTCTGCCCGACATCACATAGGGAGGCAGAAACTGAAGAAGGCAGACTGTGAATTTTCGAAGATTTCGTAAACTTTGATTCAATTTAACAAATTAGATTAGCAACCAGAGCTCATTTATGGCCAAAAACAACAAAAAGAAATCCACATGCTGATGGATTGTAGTCATACTGTTTCCAGCAAAAATTGGACTTTAACAGAGGTGGCGGCTTGATCGAGGTTGTAAACTTACTGGACGTGCATATGAGATCTAATTGTGTTTATTGCTATGAACTAAAATGTTTTTTGGTGAAATCATTTTAGTTACTTTAAACTACAAAATACAACTTTTAGAACAAACCACACTTTAAATGTAAAATATAGACTAATCTGTTCATTCGCAGATTTTCTTAATTTTTCACAAAACAAATCTTGTAGGTTTCGAAACTTCATAAAAGAAAGTCCTTTTCTATACCTTTATTAACTTATGTCCTTCTGCATGTAAATGCCAGCAAGTTTTCTCTCAGAAACATCTTCTCAGCTAGTGTCCAACACAATTGACTTGTCATTCATTTTCTTACTTCTGAGACTCGAATACTGGCCTCCTCAAATCAAACGAGATATGAAAATAGAGTTCACATTCTGGGAGCTGGGCTGTCCCAGGAAGGAGTTCCTATGACAATGACCTGCAGATTGGAGTTATGCATGCAGCTTGTACGGTGATGCGTTAACCGTTCCCCTGGAGGGAAAGATAATATCAGCAAACTTCACTGCAGCAAAATGAGTGAATTAAGCATGTTTCTAAGTAATCTGATAAGGGGCCATTTGCAAGAAACTACTGAATCATCTATATCTCTACAACTCTTCCTCTTCTTATTCTTTTACAGTTCAAAAGGGTTACAAGTGACCACTCAATTAAAGTCAATCTACAAAATATGCCTGATTGCGGGCTCAGGTGAATGCTTAAAAGATACATTTTTACATGTGTCTCATGGGAAAATAAATTGATTTCACAAAGAAATGGCCATTAATGGATGTGATTGCTAAATCAATGGGATTGTTGGAGCAGATTTCTCTGTATTATTTTCTATAGATGGTGATTTTGGTGAAATAATTATACAAGTGCCAAAATCAATCTTGGAAAGGTCTAGGAAAAGTTGAAGAAGAAAAACAACTTTAAATAAAGCAAGTAAAAGGCAACATAAATTATTTTACTTTTGTTATATTAAGGAAATGCAAAACAAAATTGGCATTTCACTTAAAATTTGGTGACATGATGCAAAAACAATTATGCTAATGCAATTCACCAAGGAGATCAGTTATCACCGAATATTTTCATAAGTGTACTAGAATCAGTCTTTAGGAACGTCAAAAACAAATATGGCCTAAATATAAATGTAAGAAAATAAAATAATTTAAGATTTGCAGATGTAATAATCTTTGCAAAATCTTCAAAAGAACTGGGAAATGCTCTAAATGAGTTATCGGATTTGTGCAACAACGTAGGTTTACAAATGAACACTACCAAAATTAAAATTATGACAAACTAGTCAGCTATATATCCCAATCACAATAAATAACAGTACAATAAACTACATTGAAGAATACATGTATTTGGAACAAATAATATTCCAAAATAAACAAGACAAAGAAATTAAAATTTGGACATCTAAAGCCTGGGAGAAATTCTATAGTTTATCATTTGAATTGAATAACAAAAAAGAAGACATAGCAATAAAAAGACAAACATTTGACAGCTGAGTGTTACCTGTCCTAATTTACAGAGCACAAACGTGGTCTCTTTAGGGTAAACAAGCGAAATATAACAGATATGCCAAAGAAAAATGGAGAGGAAAATGTTGAACATCAATCTAAGTGACAGAGTGAAGAATGTTGACATTAGAAGAAAAAACAAATTAAAAGACAGTCCAAGAGGCAAAAAGATTCAAATGAAAATAGGGAGAACATATCAGGTGACTTGTCCCAGAAAGATGGACACATGCAGTTACTCAGTGGGATTCACAAATAGGATGGAGATGTGTAGGAAGACCAAGAAAATGGTGGCAAGACGAATTTGTGAATGAAATAGGTAACTTATGGGACCACATACCTAGAGACGGTAAAGTGTAAAGAAGTGACAATGGAAACTTTAGAAAGAACACATTTTTAAATGTATAGATGTAAATAGAAATGTAAATAATTCATTTTAAGATAAGCGAGTGTGAAACAAGTTAATGTGTCTAGCAAACTACTGTTTAACAGTGAAAATAGTGCTACAGGAAAATTCACAGGTTTTGTTAAGAAATAGTAGTCTATATATCTTTATAACAGAATTGATAAATAGAAAAAACAATTTAACTTTGCCAGGCTTTAGCTCGCCTGGTAACTTCTTTTCTGAGCTACCCCACCAGAGAGTGGAAGGCATGCTGGATATGGATGCCATAGCATTAATAATGATGATAATATCATTTTCATGATTCAGTGCATCACCTTCAATCAGTATAAATGTAGTGAATTAGCAAGACAATTTTTGTTAAAAAAATCTTATTCATATAGTGACACAAACATGAGTTTGGAATCAATTCCTTTGCTTTGAAACATTTAAAACAAATTACAATGCAGTGAAATCTGATGTTAAGTAACTGCCATGGGTGAGAGAAATATTTTTTTCACTGTGCAAATGCAGACAGTTCTGAAAATAAAACACTTTTTATATCATTAAGTTCATTTTAGTCATTGAGAGATACAGAACTGAAAGCAGACTGAAAATTGCATTAAATCATTTTTAAGGCAATTACAAAAGTTCAATGATCTGAACAAAAATGCGCAATTTGATATGAATTAATCATCAAGGAACACTGAAAAACAGGAAATCACACTACAAGTTGCTTACATGCTTTCAATTGACACCGTGTTAACGGCAAGTATCACTGGATCTGGAAAAATATATTGTATGAAATGTCAAAATATTTACATAAAAATGTGATAAAAATGATAAGAATATGTAATATCAAAATACTTTCTAATTTGCATTTATAAACAAAATAAATTTTCACAATTTGAAATTACATTAATAAAATATGTAGTAAACCAATTGTGAAAATAAAAATTCCTAGTCCCACTGAATTACATTTTTTTATGAGTATATTTTTAACTTAGTGAGCAATGATACTTTCCTTACAAATATGGGAACTTATTGCTTGAACAATCACAGTAGCATTATCATGCCTGAGATAACAAACATCTCTTGTAAATTAGGTTTAAAGATCGAAAAACAAGACCCCACTGATATTTTCCATTTCTGAAGATAATATTATTGTCAGGGTTCTGCACAGTTGTCATAATGTACGTACATATATATGCAGTGCAGGCATCTGAGCTATGTTCCCACTTGGGTCACTTTTTGTCTTCAATACATAATATTGAATATGTGTAAGAAAATAATATTTTGGAAAAGGTATTAAATGTTTTTTCCTAAATAAATTTCAATAAAAATGGTATCATAATAAGAAGTTTCACAAAATATGTAATATAGAATGTATATGTAACGAAAAGTGTGATTCATCTGATTTGTCAAAATCACAATTTTGAGAACCAAACTTGGAAAGACAAAAATGTTTAATTACATAAAAATCTGAACTCTTAGTTATCACATCACGAAAACATGATACCTGAAAAACAATAGAAGATGGGGAAATGATGCCTTTGAAAAAATAAAACATGTCGAAGAGTATTCTCATAACGTTAAATGTACTTATAGAAATTTACATTTCAGTGAACATTTTCAACACCTTTGTCATTAGGCTTACAAAATGTATTGCAATCTAATCACTTAAAATTCACCAAAGTAATTTTACCAAAGTGCTTTGATGAGTTGTTTCAACTTTATGCACTTCAAAATATTGAAAAATTTGTGCTTGAAAATAAGATTTTTTACTGTGAATTGCAAAATTCAAAATGTTTCACAAAATATATTGACCATCTTAGCATCAATCTACATTTAATACAATTCAGAGAAAGTTTAGTTACTTGTTCCACTTTCAATTGTGAACTTCCTGTAAATGTTGATTTTTGTTTCCTATCTTATTACAACAATTCTCACAAATTAGTTGTAATATATGTAATTAATTGTAATATACACAACCTTTTCTTTTACAGATTATATATTTTCTTTTTGTGTTATTTAGCATTAAATATTTGACAAAAATCACTAAATATTCATTTATTTAAATTTTCACACAAAAATTGTATATGAAACTATTTACAAAAGGCCATACCAAAGTTCTATGATTAATTACTAATTCTGTGCTGTGACAGTTTCTCCATAGTAACATCTTTGGAAGCCATTTCTCTAAACAGTATACTAATAAAAACAACACATTTAATGTTTTAATAATTAATGTAATATATTAATATACAATTAACATAGTAATATCACAATTATTGCATTAATATATAAATTAATTAATATTGAAATAAAATTTATTTTCTGGTGGGGAGTGGAGGGGCCACATAAAGCAACTGATGAGGAAGCTGGAAGAAATCTTAAGGCGTTTCACGTAATTTTTCCACAGATCTCCAAAGATATTTTGGTAGTACTTCTTCCTGCCAAATAGTACTCATATTTCCAATGTGATGCAACACTAGAAAGCCCAGAGGCTTTTGTTTCGACTCCTGGCACTGTTTTAACAGTGTGTCAATTTTTTGTTTCTTACGTAGGAATTTTCTATTTGTGACTTTAAATTTTACTTTTATTCACACTATTAAAAGTTAAAACTTAAAGAAAAGAGAAACATGTGTGATGTTTATTTTATTTCAGTTTATCTTTATAAATGTCTGAAAGAAATGCACAAGTTTAACGGGATCTTTAAATAAACAGATGAGACGTTTTGAGAGATTTGAAATCTCTAAAGAAAATCCTTTTTGGTAAACAAGAGTTAAAATATGAAAATTTGATATAAGAAACAAAAAAACTTTACTTCTAAGAACTTTCATCCATGATGTAGTTACAAAGTGACAAAAACAATGAAGCCTGCTTCAGCACTACAGAATAAAGAGGTGACATTTACTAAATTGCTCACAAAACAGGTATTTCACAAAATCTACTTCAATAAGATAGTGTTTTCAAGTAGGCTTTACTATTCGGGATCTTGCAGCTATAAATCCCTGGATTGGTTACGAGATGTGACCAGCAGTACTAAGAAAAGAAGGGATTGTAACCAAAAACTAAAGGAGCACAGCACTAAGAAAAGGATATTTGAAAAGTAGTAAGGTACAATCAGTTTCAAAATGCATTGATCAATTACCAAAAGCAAGTACATGCTGGGACTGTCAATTTAAAATCAGTAAAGGATCTATTTCTGTCAAAATATAAGAGAACAGTAAGAAAATAGTGTATGGTACAGGAAACGCATTTTTGCATCACATGAAAGTCTCAGTAGCTTCTCTGGTTCCCCCCACAGCATAGCATCAGTGGTCAGAAACGAGCAAAAGCATAAAATTTAGGTAAAATAAAGTTGAAGGAATAGAGACAGCAATAATTTATAATAGAATTAAGGGAACTATTTTCTGTGCAATATAATATCATCGCCTAGCAATATTAGAATGTTGCTTTCATGCATCATCCTGTGCCTAAAAACGCCATAAAACAGTGTTCAGAGTCTGACGATTTGAAGTTGGATTCCACTATTTACATTCTTTTTAATACACATATTTTTAAGCAATGATGCACATAGTACAGAATGTTAGTACTTATTTAATGCATTACCATTGAACTAATTATTTACGAAAATGAATTCCTTTCACTTTTATCTCCAGAGGTGAAATAAGAAATTTCCAAAATGCTTAAAATGATGTACTATTAGTTCAATTAGAAATGAAGTAATTATCATTCAAAGTGTTCCACTGATTTAAAAAAAAATTCCATTTACCTTACACAACAAACATCATTGAAGGTTCTAAGATGAATGAACTCATCTGTTAGGCATTCTAGGAGTCGTCAGAAAGCCAGGCTTTCTAGTGTTGAGAGGTTTATTTTGAGACATTTTTCTAAAACACTTCCTCTCAGTGTGATTTGAGTGTGTTCCTTCTTTCAGCTAACCATTCAATTATTTCATTTACTTCTGAGTAAATCTGACATTAGCTATTTATTGAACTTTTCCTCCAGTTGAAATTTCTTTCATAGTCTGAGAGATTGCTGAGATTAATGAAATTAATAAAATAATCAAAAATATAAAAGCTCTAAGAATTGAAATGGGAGTAAAACAGAGAAGGAAGGAATTTCAAGAAACTATAATAGTGAATGAAGATCTTGACTTGTATGAAAATATAAGCACAATAAAACTCGTCAATACGCTAGACATAAAGTTACTACAATTTTGAAACAATAAACAGAATAAATTATTCTAAATAACTTGAACAATTGAAAGCAAATTTTTAAAACCGTATAATACATTTTTATGTACACAATACTTCAATTTCTTCCAATAGTTTACACTCTTGGGTACACTAATATTTTTTAATGTTGTCGTGGGCGATCTTCTACAACAATTGTATGACAGAGAATATCATATCCTGTTCTATTATGTCTCAGAAAGAACAGAGCAAAAAGAGCAGGAATTAACACTGCTAGTACAAGATTTTTCACAAAAGATCGAGCAAAGGCCCAAGTCCAACCAAGGTCAGTTGCAGGATAAACCAAAACTGTATCAGGAGGCCGACCTTCAACAGCTGTGACTCTTTCACAGAGAACAACACGAATGCCCATAATTAATTTCCCAGGAGTTGCACCTCCTACTTGACCTCCTTGACCTCTTCGAATCCAAAATGCCTGGAGAACAAATTATTCAATTTCTTAGTACTCAGCTAATTGTATAATATCTAGGTACTCTGTGTCTAAGCTAGAAAATTACTTACTTCAAATATAGAAACAACAACTCGATGAATGCCTTCTAAAACAACTATTTCAGCAGTCATTTCAACTGCTTTTTTGTAATTAATACTGCCAGTACGGCTAAGCAAGTCCAAATCATATTTGTCTAAATCGCTGCAAAAAAGATAATGTTGCAGAATCATACTCCATGAAATTATTATTTGCTCAGCAATAAGAGCTCCACCATTCAAATGAAACTTAAAATGTTCTTCATTACATTACTTACATGATATTAAAAACATCTACAGCAATAAATGTGACAGCTAATTTCACAAAAAATAATATTAGGAAATCCAAAAATTCAGCAACAAATCTCTTCCAGATAGGAGGAATCTGGTACTCAACTCCTGGAAATGTTTATTGTCATCCATAATTTTCTTCGATATTATTATTTGACAATTAGTTTTATAAGAAAACAAAACTCACCATTGTTTACAGGCTGTTGTGGTGCCTGTCCATGAGCTTGTCGATTTCTAAGAGCTTCGCCTCCAGGTGCAGTAAAGCCAAATTGATTTGCAGGTTGAGGAAACTGGAAAGTATTTCTATTGCCAGCAACATTATTTGGAGCACTTTGGCCAGGTGGAGCAGGAAAACACTGATTAGTCATTAGAAGATATGGAAATGATACTGCAAAGCAATGCCACACATACACAGTTTGCATCCATTTTTCCAATGCATCAAAATATTCTGCAGAGGTCTTGTATTGTGAAGATGCACTTCCAGGATCTTGATTTAATTTAGTGCCCGTATCCATTTCTTCCTCCATAGTGTTGACACTGTTTCTTAATAGTATCTACAACTGTGATCCAAAAATGCAATTCGTCGTTTTGATCAATGCGATCTGCCATGCACAACACTATTAAAACCAATAAAAGCAAGCAATACTATGACGTTGGCTGCAATAAGTCATCGAGAAATTCTGCCTTAAATTACCAAGGTCCTATCAGAATTCACAAACAATTTTTTCTTCGAGAAATATTCTCAACATCAAATCAACAAATGTCTGAAATTTGCAAGAATTAGCTTTCAATTTCACAATGTAAACGTAAATACACGGACAACTGACATGCGAATTTCACGTCCTTTCTCTTCTACGGTATGTTACGCTATATGTCACTTTGTAGAATTACTACTCGGAATAAGAATTTCATCGAACTGTTCGAACCATGATCATGTTTAATAACTTTATTACAATTAAGAAAGATAAAAATTTCGGTATTGGATAATTTCAAACGCCTTTTTATTACATGCCGAGTGTTGGTATAATATTCTTTGGCTTATTTATAGCTCCGAATAAACATGAAAGATGGTTAGATTTAAGCATTGGTGATTGGATAGTGGTAGATACCGGGTAAATAATAAGTTAAAACTCATTATCACAGTAAAGAAAATATAAATTGTTGAAATAATTATATTAAACCAGTAGCGGCTTGTGAAAAAATGTTCAGGGAATGCAAAACAGATTATTCCTCATCCGAAATATCCCATCTCAATTCCTTTTTTTTTTTTTTTTCTATAAGGCTCCTATTTTTTACTTTCCCGTATACGTACGTATATACTGAATACGTAGTATAGGGAAAGTTATATAATGGTGCGAAAAATCGATTTCGAGATTTCTACGAAAATACACGTTTCGGGGTCCCCGAAAAAGTGCTAGTTTTTCAAAACGTCCGTCCATCTGGTGTATGTGAACATCATTAGCGCATAAACCATGTATAGGATTTTTTCCAACTTGAAGAAACTTCTGTCCCTTTGACCTCAGTCGAAGCTGTGCGAGTTTGAAAACCATTCATTAGTTTTGGGGATACTTTACATGAAGCCCCTGGAACATTTTCAAAATTTTCTCAAAAACGGCTCCAAATTTTTTTCTTTAAATTTCTTGTAAGAGTAGAGTAAAATACACTTATAAATGTGGCATGTGTCTGATTTTCACGGTAAACTCTGAATTTTTGAAAATTTCAAAAGTTTGAATTTTTTCGGGATTTTCCTACAAAATTCAAGGTAGAGATTTTTCCTTCAAATTAAATTTGTTGTCCATAATTTTTTCTTTTATTAATGTCAGGTTCATTTGTTTTAAATGGTTGTTTTCGCACAATATTGCGTTCAATTTGTGCAATTTTTAAAAAAAATTACAAAATCAAGATCTCAAAAACGGTTCCAAATTTTTTCTTTAAACTTTCAGTAGGGATTGTGTTAAATGCACTCTATGAAGTGACATAAACGTCTTATTACTCTATTCTTTTGTTTTCTTTTTCAAAAATGACAAAAATGTAATTTTTTAACTTGTCTCATGTCGTTAATATTTATATTTGCAGCAATTTGTTCATATTAATATAATTATACATGTGGTTTAAACAACGTCTGTGAACACCACCAGCACCTAAACCTCATGTAGGAGTTTTTCCAAAATAGATAATTCCTGGTCAGTCTTGCTCGACTGTTAAAAAATGTATAAAGATAACTTCCAATGTACTTATAAAATATAAAATAAAAATAACAAACAATAAAATTGATGTTTGAAAAAAATTTGAATCAAGTAATTCAGTGTCATTGACAGACTTTCTTGGAAAGATTCACAATTTCTTAAAACCAACATTGAAGTAATTAGACAACCTTGCTTGAAAGTTTGCTTTTCCCATTCCTTGATAGGCATGAAAATATTAGAAAATTTTTTACTCTTAAGAAAGCTACGTTAAGATGTCCATGCGAAAATACAGGATCGGGCAAATACAACCCTACTCTTTGGAATATTATTTAACTTTATTACCGAACGGAGAGATAAACCTGAAGGATTCAATAGCCTCGAATATCAGTAATTAGTTTAATTTCGCATACAAATTCATTTTGCAGATCCTGCACGTCTTTGAATACGCTGGGTAGTATACGCCAGGTATACGCACACTAGCAAAATCTAATGGAATGTCCAAGCTCTCGTTCTATAGATTATGGCGTGAGGAACGTGTCTTCGAGGCCACTGGCTTCAAAATTTCAGATTTTAAGGCCCTAGAACGCTACGCTAGGAGTTATTATTACTTTTGCTCATTATTATCATCAGAATAAACAATGCAAAATTAGTAATTCTCAAAGAATGAACAGTATGTACGTTTATCGTAATATGGAATACAAAAACACATAATACTGTGTCGATTACTCGCGCAACTTTCTTGAATGATGACCTTGCTTCCCCCTCTCTGGCACAATGAACAAATGAAAGCAAAAGCTCGCAGCGAGCACTGATAACATTCCAAATACATCTTCACTGGCGCCAAATAGAAACAATTTTCTTTGGAAGACGAGAACTTCTATCGGTAATTTTCTTCAAAAATCTAAAGAAATGTTCGAAGCAGGTACGGATCTATCACAGGAGATACCTCGAACTCCTGATAAAGTTAGCAAACTATTGAGAATGTTACGAAGGCGTGACTGTTATCCTGAGATTGGCATTACTTCATAAAATCTAGTGGCCGATTTCGTAACTAATACTCCCACTCTACCCGTATTTCTTCAACCCATTGTTCAAAAAAAGTTGCGCGAGTAATACCGAATTTGTCTACCTTTTTTATTTACACACCACAAAACACAACAATCATTAGAAAAAGAAACTCACAAAACTTTGCAAGCACTAGTAAAATGGTTTCAAGACAACAAACTCATCATAAACAGCAGCAAGACAGTCTCTAAATTTCATGAATCCTCGATCTAAAAACAACAACAACAACAACAACAAAATTGTATTATGTGAGATGTTGCAAAAGTGCTTAAAAAACATACTTTCTGGGAAATAACAAATGAAAAACACTGTAAAACTATATTGCATAGAAGTAAATGTCCTTAAGTGCCATGAATGTGTTAGGAGATATTCTTTTAACATATTACAGATATGTTGGAATGAAACATTCCTATTAATTAAGTTATTAACTATTTTGTTGACTTACACCACTTTTGTACACAGTTTCTGAAAACTATGACCTACATTCATTACACTGGCCTGTGTTTTTTAAATAGGTTTTTGATGTTGACATTTTCTCAACTGTTTTTGTAGGAAATTACCACACTGAACTTGAAAATAATATTAGTTTTCCTTAATAACATCTAGTTTTTGCGCTATGGGTCCAATGGCTACTAAGGATACAGTTTTTACCATGAGGACATTTTCTGTTTATAGAGGGTCAATAACTAGAAAACAGACAGACAACAACAGTAGATTACATGAAGCAAAGTATTAAGTGAATAAAACACAAGATAGTTTCAGCACAATCTTTGTTAATAGAAAATTATATTAAAATAAACAAAAAACAATGACAACAAAAAAACATAAATATTGTGAAAAAAGTAAATACTTTTGTACTTTCAGTACACATCCCTTGTGAGTCAAATGTATACGATTAAAATAAATGTAGCTATTTCACCTTTCCTTTATCATATTTTAAAAGTTTTTTATATAAGACAATTCATTTTATTATAATGATGACTTTTTCGCCTTTTGTTTAAATGACTTTTGGGGTTCAGTGACTTAAGTGGCTCCAGGTTCATCTCTTTTCAGACACCAACGAAAGTCAGCCATCACGTTCCAGAGACCTTGATACCTCTCTTACATACTCGTGACGTCCTGGTGAAACCTTCCTCCATATTCGTCACTACAATCCTCACAATTGCCTGGAAAATAATTTTATAGACACGTGAGCTTCCATGTTCTTGAAGATGTTCAGGAGGCTTCAAATGATTGCTTCATATTCGGGACTTCATTCCATTCCAAGAAATTGTATTGCAGTGACTGTAAAATGAAGCCAAGCTCTCCTTTCTATTTCATCCATACACTTTTCAAACTCGGGAGCATTCATTAATCTTTTTAATCAAAATCAAATGTGCCTGCATTCAATTTTGCCTCACTGATGTGTGGAAATGTCTTCATTATATAAAGAAAAGCTGGATTCTGTATATATAATGAGGTGTTTCATTAGCACTGGTTTTATGTGGAGAGGTGGGTGCAAAATTTTTTGTGGGTCATTCAATGGATTGGCAAAAATATTGTTTCTGCCAGGTTTCAAATACATACATTGGCTTATAGAAAAAAAATCTGGACCTGATACAGAAATACAATTGCAGATTTGTAATCAGCACATAAAACAGATACAAAAACAAATAAAAAATTACAGGCATCAAAAATGTTGCAGACCAGTGAATCAATAGCATGCATAATTTTCATCTGTGATAGTAATGTGGTAGAAAAATAGAGCGAAATTAATCCAAAACATTCTACTCAATGTATTTTTACACTATGTTTTGATATTTTATACAATGTAAATTATAATTAGTTAAAATCGCAAAAAATAAAATAGATCTTTTATTTTTGTTATTACAAGTTGTACATTAAGCCACTAAGAATAAGCATTTTGGTGTAGGATAAGTCAGCAGTGCTCATTATATTGACAAGCTAGCTGGGGCAGCAGTATTGTAATCTTGAACTTGTTCTAATGGGTCTGTATCTTCCTCAAATAGGAATGCATTGATTTAAAGTAATTGTGATGCACTGAAGGCATGTATTGCAGAAGTTTAATCATGTATTTTTTGCTACAGTTACAGGCTACATTTAGGTTATTTTCTAAGGAACCACATGGATTGTATTTGCAGACAATTTACTTTGGCTTCTGCATGGTTCTTCTGGCTTTCTCACAATTGGTTTTTCAAATAGCAAAGTAGACTTCAAAGCTGCTTGAGTAATTTCACATCCTATTCTTCTTTCGAGCTGAACATATCATATTATACAAGTCATTGGGAACATAATGAATTTTATTTTTGCCAGTTTTCTCTGTTTCCAAAATTGGAGTCATTTCTTATAAACAAATGCCCTGACACAAGAAATTTGAGATCAATTATGTTTAAATTATTGACTTTGTCATTTGGGTGATTTCCACCCAAGTGAAAGCAAATTTGAAGTTGTGATTATGACCTGGGCACATTAAAAAACTTAAATGTTTTTTCCAAGATGCTTCTTCTGTGATGGGTACAGATAAACAATAATCTATTTCTTGGGAGCCTCTGGAAGCTGTTGTTTCATTCCACCTTTGACTTATGTCACAGTAGCATACAGTGTTGTGAGCAACTTGTTGGCTAAAACTTTTCTCTACTTAGTAGAATTTACATAAAATAAATTTCCTTATAAAATAGTATATTAAAATCACTATGTTAAGGGAAGATGATCTTTGAACTGAGTTTTTAACATTAAAAATGCATTAATGAACACTTAATATTTGGATTAGTCCATTTTATAGGAAAATTACACACATAAGAAAACCACGTG